TAAAAAATTATGAGAGCACTGAATTTAATTAAAATGAGAATATAAATTAATGAAAATAATTGAATTAACATAAATTAAAATGTCCAGAGACGGACGATAGGGCAGCCTTCGGTGCCTTCAAAAGCGGTCTTCGGTCGTCTCAATTTCGCTATCTGGTCCACAGCAGCAACTGGACCACCTATGTCGAGCTAATGAAGCAGGCAGCTATGCACGCCAAGGCCGAACATTTCAACTCCAAGGGATCGGCTTCGGCTCCCCCAAGCCAAACAACAACGGCCGATCGGCCTTCAACACAGAGCCATGACCGATTTCCGGCAAATCAAACTGCCAGTCCGGCCCCCTACCGAACGGCCCCCCCAGCCTCTTCTCCTTACGAGGCTCGACACAAACGAAAAGACAACTTCCGGGATCGGCAGGACGGCGGCAAACGAGGCAAGGACTCCAGCAGGCGAAGTGACTTCGGAAATTCGACGAAGAATCGGTCAGAGGAAATTTTCACTTTCCTCAACACCACTTACGAGCATGTCCTCCTGACAGAGGGGGAGTTGATCCCGAAGCCGAACAACCGAAAGCTCCCTCGGCAGAACGGGAAAGACACCGGTGTATTCTGCCGATACCACCAGTACAATGGCCACGATACAAAATCGTGCATCGCCCTTCGAAAGATAGTCGAACGCCTCATCAACGACGGCAAGCTGGATCAGTACCTAAACACCAACACGGCCTCGGATCAACCCTCGAATCGACAGATTAATATGATCAGTGGAGGGGCACCCATCCCCGAAACCAGCAACCGATCCGTCAAAAACTACATTTGTGCCGTCCAGCATCCCCAGATCCTCAGCGTAGCGGGAGGACGCCACGACAAGACCCAACGAATCGGTTGGGAACCTATTACCTTCTCTGAAGAGGAAGAACGAGACATCATCTTCCCCCACTCCGATCCCATGATCATACGAGCCGATATTTCGGATTTCGATGTGGGCCGAATCCTCATAGACACCGGCAGTTCTGTCAATGTACTATTCGCCGACGCTTTTAATGCCCTCGGCATAGATCCTCAACATCTGAACAAAGATATCACCCCCCTCCTAAGCTTCTCGGGTGATGTGATCAAACCGATCGGCAGTGTCCTGCTTCCGTTCGCAGTCGGCACCATTCCCAGACGAACGGTCATCTATACCCACTTTCTGGTGGTCGATTGCCCAACAGCATATAACGCCATCATCGGCAGGACGGCGCTCACCAAGATGAAAGCCATGCTGTCACCACACATGCTCCTCCTCAAGTTCCCCACCCACGTTGGCGTAGGCCAAGTGCGAGGGGATCAGTTGAGTGCACGGACATGTTACGTTTCGACAACGAAGGAATAGGCAAGAGCTACGCTTCGCAAGGCATACTCAGTTTCTACTAATGTAACTATGCTGAACGGTAGGGGGACGGACACACCGGATGATCCCCGAGATGAGGCCGTCACCCCACAAGCGCAACCCATTGAAGACCTAGAATCGGTCACCCTCTCCGAAGCACAGCCCGACCAACAAATTCGAATCGGCACTACCTTGAGTTCGGCACTACAGAAGTCTTCGCCTGGTCGTACAATGACATGCCTGGCATCGCCCCAAGTGTCATCAGTCATAAGCTCAGCATTTGCCTCACTTTCAAACCCATCCGACAGAAGCGGCGGGCTTATGATGCCGAACGATACGAAGCAATGAGGCTCGAGGTACAGAAACTGAAGACGATCGGCTTCATCCAGGAAGTCACTTACCCAATCTGGTTGGCCAATTCGGTCTTGGTCAAAAAATCGAGCAGCGCCTGGAGGATGTTTCAGGACTATACCGATTTAAACAGGGCTTGCCCCAAGGACAGTTTTCCTCTGCCAAGGATCGATCAGATGGTGGACGCCATAGCAGGCCATGAACTTCTCAGCTTCATGGACGCATACTCAGGCTACAACCAGATATTCATGAGTCCTGCCGATCGCGAACGCACGGCATTTATCACCAACAAAGGACTTTACTGCTACAATGTTATGCCGTTCGGCCTGAAAAACGCTGGGGCAACATACCAGCGATTGGTCAACAAAATCTTCTCTGAACTCATCAGCACATCGATGGAAGTTTATGTGGACGACATGCTGGTCAAAAGCAAAACAGCTGATTCTCACCTCCGCAACCTCTCCCTCATGTTCAGTGTCTTAAAGAAGTACAACATGCGTCTCAACCCAAGCAAATGTGCCTTCGGCGTCTCTTCAGGCAAATTCCTCGGCTTCATGATCAGCCAAAGAGGCATTGAGGCCAACCCTGATAAGATCAAGGCATTGCTCGACATGCAGACACCAAAGACACAGAAGGATGTTTAGAGTCTCACTGGGCGCGTCGCTGCTTTGGCCAGATTCATATCCAAAGCTACCGATCGGTGCGCCCCATTCTTCAAAGCCCTCAAAGGAAGCAAACGGCAGATTGTCTGGACTGCCGAATGCGATCGAGCCTTCCAAGACCTCAAGGTCTACATGAGCAGAGCGCCCCTATTATCCACCCCTCTTCCCGGTGAAGATTTAACTCTCTACCTATCGGTCTCAGCAACGGCATTGAGTTCCGTACTCATTCGCAAGCCGAACGGCATAGAGCTTCCGATTTTCTATACTAGCCATGCTCTGCAGGATGCAGAGATTCGGTACCCCGAATTGAAGAAGCTCACCTATGCTCACATTCTCTCAGCTCGCAAGCTTCGGCCATATTTTCAGGCTCACAGTATTGTCGTTCTCACCAACTAGCCTCTACGCCAAATACTACAGCGACACGAGACGTCCGGTCGGCTAGTCAAATGGGCCATCGAACTTAGCAAATTCGACATCCGCTATCACCCTCGGCCTGCCGAGAAGGGCCAGGCCGTGGCTGATTTCATCTCCGAATTGACTACTTCCGAAAAGGGAGGTCCGGAAGATATCGCCCCCGAGCCGGCTTCGACAGCATCAGTCAGCCACCCGACCGAAGGGACCTTTAATCCATCAATTCCCCTATGGACTCTCTACGTAGACGGCTCGTCCAACCGACAAGGCAGCGGAGCCGGCTTGGTACTAAAAGCCCCCGATCAGACAACCATCGAATATGCCATCCGTTTCCAATTCTCGGCTTCCAACAACGAAGCAGAATACGAAGCTCTGTTGGCAGACCTTCGCCTCGCCAAGGAAATGGGTGCTCAACAGCTCAAGATATGCAGCGACTCACAGCTTGTCGTTAATCAGATAATGACTGAGTTCGAAGCCAAGGATACTTCAATGGCTGCCTACCTGACGCATGCCCGCCGATTGCTCCACCACTTCGCCGCATATCAAGTTCAACAGATCCCCAGATCCGAGAATGGCCACGCCGATGCCCTGTCACGCCTGGCATCGGCAATTGACGACAACGTCGGCCGCCATGTGCCAGTTGAAATCCTCGCTCGGCGCAGCACTATTGAGACCGAGGTACATGCCGTTCAGCAGGATCCGAGTTGGATGGATCCAATCCATGCTTACCTCACAAGCGGAACGCTACCAAACGACAAAACGGAGGCTAAGACTCTCCGCCGCCGATCGGCACAATACTTAATTTTGAATCAGATTCTCTATCGGCGTGGTCACTCCTTACCGCTACTTCGGTGCAAGACCCCACAGCAAGGTACCTACGTCTTACGGGAGATTCACGAAGGGGCTTGTGGGGACCATTCCGGCGCCCGATCCTTGGCTTTCAAAACCGTACGGCAAGGGTATTATTGGCCAACTCTTCATGCCGATGCCACCAAACTTGTCCAGAGGTGTGATCATTGCCAGCGTTTCGGCTCCGTCCCAAAACTGCCTGCCGAACCACTCACTCCGATCGCTAGCCCATGGCCCTTCGCTCAATGGGGCTTAGACCTCATCGGCCCCATGCCCCAGGGAAAAGGACAGCTTAAATTCACCATCGTCGCCGTCGATTACTTCACAAAGTGGACCGAGGCCGAAGCCTTGGCGACTATCGCTGCAGCCAGGGTTGAGCATTTCGTATGGAAGAATATCATTTGTCGATTCGGCCTCCCGAACGCAATCATCACCGACAACGGTAAACAATTCGACTCCTCCCAGTTCCAGCACCTATGCCGCCGATTCAACATCAACTTGTTCTTCGCATCTCCAGCGCACCCACAATCGAACGGCCAAGTAGAGGCCATTAGCAAGATCATCAAGAAGACACTGAAGAAGAAGCTTGGGGCAGCTAAGGGAGCCTGGCCCGATTTGCTCCCAGAGGCAGTATGGGCCATCAACACCTCCTACCGACGGTCGACTGGCGAAACGGCGATTTCTCTTGCCTTTGGTACCGAAGCCGTTGTCCCAGTCGAAATCAACGCACCCACATGCCGAACGGAGTCTTACACACCAGAGCAAAATGAGAGACTACTTGCACTCAACCTTGACCTCGTCGAAGAACACCGTTCCCTAGCTCAGCTTCAGAATGCTGAATACAAACAGAGAACCTCCCGCTATTACGACTCGCGCGTTAGACGCCGATCGTTCAAAGTGGGGGACTGGGTTTTACGCACAATCTCTCTCGCCACCAAGGACTCCAACGAGGGCACCCTTGACCCTTCATGGGAAGGTCCTTATGAGGTCGTCACTGTTTGCTGACCGGGGACTTACCGATTGTGCGGTTCCGATGGCCAAACCCTCGGCCACCCTTGGAACATAGAACACTTGAAATATTACTACAAGTGAATGCACCTTCGGTCATCACCTTTGTAATCGGTTTGTTTTAAAACAATTTCTATTCTATACATACGGCATTACCATAATCAGCAATATTTTATTCAAAATCAGCTACCTACGGCATGCACACATAAGAATACGAAAGTTGCCAAATTAAACCGGATCAAAATAAAATTGAGATAAAAGGCCACATAAGGGCCATCTGTCTTAGCACAATGCCATTCGGCATGTTCAAAAATTACATACATTCCCAAAAAAAAAAACAAAACAAAAATTATTCTTATGAAAATTAAAATCTTCAAGTCTAAGAGGCAGGAAGCTCAGCAGACACGGGCTCGACAGTGTTCGAAGTTTCGGTAATCGGCGCGCTGCTTGCGTTTGGCGCAGGGTGGCTCTCTTCCTCCTCACTACTAGACTCGGTGTCATCGGCTTCTTCAGGCTCGGCATCCTCACCCTTGTAAGCCTCCACCATTTCTTCGGTCACCCTTTCTGGCAGCGGAGGCGTATCCCGGAGGAAGTTCATGTTCAGCTTCTTATCTGCGTTGTACCGCTTGAATCGGTACAACAGGTCATCACACTGCTCCATGACCTCCTTATCTAGCATCAGCGTGAACTCCTCCGTTGACCGGTATTCAGCAACGGGCTTTGCCTTTGCCTCTTCCAGCTCCTTGGCATGCGACAGTTCAGCTGCATCCATCGCCGCCTTGGCCTCAAGAGCAGCCACCACATCCAGCTCGGTCGCTGCAAGCCTCGACGCAAGCTCGGCAATCTTAGCAGCATTTTCCTTGGCACGCCGATCAGCCTCCTGGAGCATCTTACCGGCATCGGCAATCTTCGAACGGCCTTCCTCGAATTTCTTCTGGTACCATTCGGCAGCATTTACGGCTCGCTTTACGCAAAGCCACATCTCCATATCAACCTGCAACACGTCCACAAAAAATCTATTAAATATCTGCCGAACGCTTAGGCACTTTGACCAAATCGAAGTCTACAAACTTACTGCAGCCTGAAGTTGGAAGGCGCGTCCGGTCTGCTCACGCAACGTCTTCATCGACAGCTGCTCGATTTCAGATAGCTCCATTTGAGCGCCATCGATCATGCTGTTGATAAACGGCACGGCCTTTCGAGGGCAGGCAATGTTCACCGGCCCCTCCCCCTCCACTTCATAATCCGGGATCAGCACGGAGATCCCCTCGTTCGGCCCTCTCGGTTTCTTCTGCAACGGCGTCACATCGAGGGGACCCTCGATCTGCCTTTTGCTCGTCACCTGGAGGTGGACCTCCCGAACGGCCTCGGCTTCGGCCACCCTCTTCTCCCGGCGACGATCGGCCACCGTCATCTCGTCCGCCGAAGCCCCTCCGGAAGCCTCTGCGGCCTTCTTCTTCTTCGGCCTGGGGGACTCCCCTTTCTTCGGCCTTAGCGCCCCTTGCCCCTCCAGACGTCGCCTGGTCGCCTCACTCATCGGCAGGCGCACATTGATGAGTTCTCACTCACTGGAATGGTTGTGCAATTGAATCTTTCTCTTATACAATTATCCTTATTCACATTATTAGATAATGAAACCTAATATCAAATATCTTAATGTGAATTCCTTTATATGATTATCCCGGTAAGATTTGAAGACTTCTTCTTTCAAATCTTATCCAC